TCGGAGGACGCCTAGCTCCTCGCTCCACCAGTAGGCCGAGCTAGGATTCGCCAGGCGCCTCGTTGCCTTCTGCGCCGCCGACTTGATGGCGGAGACGCACTCTTGGGGCGTCATGGGGCTCCGTCTCGTCAGTCTCTTCCCTATTGTCTCTCTGTACTTGGTCAGGTCCACTATCGTCGCCGCCGGGTTGGAGGTTTTACTCCCCCTCCCAACGATGTCCGTCACTATAAGTCTGTGGTCGCTTAATGTGACCTCCTCGGTATCGACCTTCCATCTCGTCTCGTTAGTCAGTGCGTCGGACACAAACGTCAAGTCGACGAAGGACTCCCCGTTGTGTCTGACGCACGTCGCATGTCGTCCGTCGTTGAGTAACGTCAGTCCGTTTTGGGCCGCCCAGTCGGCAACCGAGCAACCCCTCTCGTCCGTCGTCGTCGTCCCCCCCACGTCGCGTTTTTGGCATTAAAGTCCCCCGCCACTACGGCGGGACACTTCGCCGCTTTCAACGCGTCCGTGAGGTCGTCCAGGTCCTTGTTTACGTCTTCCTCCGATACGTTCGGGCTGATGTACACGCTGATGAGACACACCTCTTCCGTCTCAATCAGCGCATAACACCCGCCCTCGCAATACCGGAGGACCTGTTGCGTCGTCCCGATCCTTGCAACCGCGGCCGTGCGTCGCCCGTTCGGGTACACGTGCCGCTTCCCCACGCACTGCCGCCTGTTGGGCTCCGAGAGGCAGATAAAATCTGCCTCCGTCGCCTTCGCTCTCGCGTAGGCGACGTCCATCGCCCTTGAGCTGCAGTTCGTATTGAGCTGCAGGATCCGGACCGTCTTGTCTCGTCCTCGTCTCACGTCCTGTGTCCGTCTATCCGTAGCCATGTACTGTCACTGAGCCATTCTCGGGGTCTCTCGTAGTTCCTTCACTCGCTCGCCCCCCCGTCATCCCTCTCCACAACGCTTTCTCCCGCGGATCTCCCGGGCTCTACTCCTGCTCCGCCCCCAGCCTCGCATTCCCTCCCGTACGATGCGTGCCCGACTCCTTTTCCTTCCGCTACTCCTTCGCATAGGAAGCAGCGTGGCTTCTCCTCTTTGCACTGGAGGGCCCTGTGCCCACATCTTAGGCACATTTTGGACCTATCCGGGCCTTTTCATTCTTTCCTCTCGTGCCCCCTCTCCAAGCATCTGCGACACCTCTCCACCTTCTTGCCTCTCCTCACTACCTTTCGTATGCGGCAATTATTCAACCCTATCCGGATCTGACCGCCTTCCGCCACCCCTTTCCCCGGAATCACCTCTATCCTCGCAATGCGCAGCCCCCTAGCCGTTGAGAAAATTCCCTTCGTCTTGGGACCCGCACCGGGACAAGCCGCTTCTATTACCTTCTCCACCTCCTCCTCCGTAGTGACATCATCGATGCCCTCTACATCCAAGAGCGTCCTCTCCTGGAGCACTCTCACCTCCATCGCGCCCACTTCTTTCTGGATCATCTCCTTTATCGCGAGGGCTTTCCCCGCCCCCGCCTCCATTTCTACCAGGAGGTCTCCATCGCGGGTCTTCCTCACTCCCCTAACGTTTTTAACCTAGAGCTTTCGTACGCTGCGCAAGCAGTCCGAATAACTACTCCCGTCTCCCACCTTGATGAGTACCGCCTCCGGTCTTGGCACCCTAGCCATCTCCTCCCCGACCACCGGGATCGTCACCACCACTTGCACTGTATCGCGGAGCACATACCTCACCGCACGCTTGACCACTTCCAAACTCATTAGACGGTTGTATAGATAAAAACACACACTATAATAATTGTTAAAACGTTGCGTTATAGATTGCATAAAACCTGTGACGAACATTATGATAGTTGTATAAAATGAAACAAAATTTCCCTACAGCTAGGCTAGTCTCTTCGTGAGGTTGAGCTGTCCACCAACCCCGAGGTTCTTCTCTTTGCCTCCACATTCTTGACCGCCTGCTTAAGCTTAGCGCAGGCCAACCTAACCTAACCTAAACCTAACCTAACCTAAACCTAACCTAACCTTTTTTTTTTTTGTAACGGAGTGGAAATCCCTTATGGACACCACGCGCCTTGTTGTCTATCAGCGCACGGTAGTGTGGGACTCTCACCCACTAACTCCTGAGCCTAGTTTTAACACTGACAGGAACTGTTTTTCACTTTCTTCTGTCAGTGATGGCTTTGTTCGAATATTAATTCGCTTGTCTTTCTGTTTCCTCTTTGACTTGCAGTATGTCGGTGACATATCTTTTAAGAGCTGCCCATGCTTCTTCATTTTTGGTCGCTTTCCTGATAACGTTTTCTGGCGTTACATCTCCAAGTTTTCCTGTCATCTCCTCCCTCTGGTCTTTCCACTTCGTGCATTGGAAAAAGGTGTGTTCCGGTCCATCTATTTCTTCGCAGAATAGGCATCTGTCGCTCGTTTTCTTCTTTATTCTGTGAAGGTACAGCATAAAGCAACCGTGTCCACTTAGGAATTGGCTCATGTAGTAGTCGGTCCAGGATATTTTGCTTGCCACCCAGCTTTGAATTTGTGGTATTAGCCTCCTTGTCCACTCCGCCTTTTTTGTCTTGTCCCAGTCCGACTGCCATTTTGCCATTAGCTCTTCGTTCGCTTCCTTTCTACCTTCCTTCGTTTTGATCTCGTTTCTTTTTTTCCATGCCATTGCTAGAAGCTCTAAGGGTTCTCTCTTACTGATAATGCACAAGGCTTCTGCTGATACTGTCCTGTACGATGCTGTGATTTTAATATTCATTTGCCGTTGTGTTGCTTTTAGCATATTCTTGTATTTATCTACCCTTAGTGCTTCCGCCCATATTGGAGCACCATACATAATGACTGATTGTGCCGCTAACGCTATGACCCTTCTTTTGGCATGCCCTGGGCCTCCTATATTTGGCATTAGTCTGTTTAAGTCGCCCATGAGTTTCAACGCCTTATCCGTCGCGGATTTTATATGTTTACCCAGTATTAGTCCCGAGTCTATGATCATCCCTAAATATTTTACTTCTTTCTGGATCTTGACTTCCGCTCTCTTGTGAATTATCTTTATTCCTTTAATGGGTAAATGTCTGTTCATGGCTATGGCAGTTGTTTTTTCTGGAGCTATTTTTAACTTGTTGTCCTTTATCCAGTTGTCAATCAGGTGGAGGGTTATATTTGTTTTTTCGTTTAATTTGGTGGCCGTTTCGGCATGGACTAGTATCGCTACGTCATCTGCGTAACATATTATCTTAACACCTTTGGGCTTTTTTATTTTCATTATTCCATCGTATAATACGTTCCAGAGGACCGGTCCCAGTACCGATCCTTGTGGTACTCCCCCATAGACCTCTCTTTGCTTGCCTTTAGATATGTTTATCTTTCTTTTCCGTAGGTATTCTTTAATTATGTTTTGAAGGTACCGATCTATTTCTAGTTTTTCCAAGTTTTTGGTAATTAAGTGCCAGTTTGCTGTATTAAACGCATTTTGTATATCTAATAGCACCATGACTCCGTATCTGGCTTTCCCCGTTCCTATTCGCCTAGCTTCTGATATAACGCCTTCTATCGCTGTAGTTGTCGATCTGCCTGTTCTGAAGCCGTGCTGTGTATCACTTAGGTCTCCTTTGTCTTTTATGTTCTTTGCCAGTCTTTCATTTATTATTGATTCATATACCTTTCCGAGTATGTTCAGCAGACATATGGGCCTGTACTTTACATGATCATCACTTGGTTTTCTTTGCTTTGGAATTAGCACAAGTTTCGCCTCCTTCCATTCCTCCGGGAATGTGTTACTTTCCAAGACTTTATTGTACATTCCGAGAAATATGTCCGGTTGTTCTACCATTGCCGTTTTTACCACCCCTGGAATCAACCCGTCAGGGCCCGGTGCTTTGTTTAATTTAATTCTCCTGGTAGCCTTTAGGAGTTCTTCGTGGTCTATTTTTTCCGGTTTATCTAGCACCGTTTGTGGCTTTGTTCTCAGTTCCCCTTGGTGCATAAACAGGTCTTCAAAAATGTTGTTTTTTTGCTCGTCGGTGAGGTCGACTTTGGCTTGTGGAATTTTTAGCGTTTGTGTTACTATGCGATATGCCTGCCCGAAGGGGTCTGTGTCCAGCTCGGCGCACAGAGTGTTCCATTTTGCCCTCTTGGCTTGTGCAATTGCTGCTCGGAGATTTCTGCGCTCTGCCTTGTACTGCTCCCTTTCTAGTATGTGCTGCCCTCCTCCTTTCCCTCTTATCATTTTCCTTCTCCATTTGTTGGTAGAAGCCTTCAGCTGTGTTATTCTTTCGTTCCACCAATATGGGAGCTTGCTTTCTGCATCTTTTGCCCTCTTTAATACTCGCTTCTGGACTTCCTGAAGTATTTCCCTGATCTCATTTACCTTGTTTGTGTTATTTAGTTGATGCCATCTAGTTTTTACCGAATTACTTATTTTTGTTTGGTCAATTTTAGGGTATAGTTCCCATCCGCTTTTTATTTTCACGTTTGTATTTTGAATATTTGTGTATATTACGTTGTGGTCGCTGAGTACCTCGTCTTCCAGGACTTCCCATTTTCGCATTTTCTTGGCTATTGCAGGTGTAGCTATAGTGAGATCTATGTAGGAGACTCCATTGTAACGTATACACGTGGGTTTTTTCCCATCGTTTAATACAATCAGCCCTCCTTGGTGAGTCCATTCGGCCAGTTTCCATCCTCTTTCGTCGTTAGCCATTCCTCCCCACATGACGTTCTTAGCGTTAAAGTCCCCAGTAATGATGGTGTCTGCATGCCTGTCGATTACTCCAGTGATGTCGTCGAGTGTCTTTTCGAAATGCTCCATAGTTGCGTTCGGGCTGATGTATGTACTCACGATACATGCCCCATCTAGACTAAAGGCTGGTTTATAAAAGCTGCAGTCGTTGTTGCAGTCGTAGTTCGCTTAAGTTTTCATATAGGCTATACGCAGCCGCGTTTATAAGAACCGGATAATCGTCGCAACTTGGCGGAGAATTCATGTAAATTAAAAGTCGACGTTCCGACAAACTGGCGCATGCGCTTGTTGTTATTCTTTTTGAACTACTTCGATTGTTTGACAACAGCCTGTATTCTATGGTTTGACCACATGCATAAATTCTAACCTCGTATTTGTGTTTACATCGTGAAACGCGGAAGTGTTGTTAAATAAATTTACTATGAACATGGAAATTGATGTAAAATTTATAAATCTCGTGCGAGAAAATAAAGTGTTATATGACAAACGATCGGGTAGTTATAAAAGAACCGATATAAAAAATAAGGTTTGGCATAAAATTGCTGTCGAAATGAACTTTAAAAGTAAGTTTACTCTTTATCCGTAAACTTTTATTTTAGATTAACTTTTTTTCATTTAGCCGATGACGAAGCTATCAAGAAGTGGAGAGCTTTGAGAGATAAGTTTGTCAAAGAAAGGAGAAAGATGAAAAATGTACCTTCAGGAGCAGGATCGGAAGTTGAAACATGGAGTCTGTATCCATATTTAGAGTTTTTAGACGATTTTGTCCAGCAAAGAAAGTACATCAGTAAACATATTTTTTATTGCATTGATGTTATGATAGTATTCTAGGCAATACAGCAATCTTTCTGTTAGTCAAAATGGACATGAAGAGAGCCAAAGCCAAAATGTAAGCCAAGACGTGGATTATCGCAGTCGGAGCACTATTTCACGGTCTCGCAGCGAAAGCCCAAATTAATGTCAGGAGATGAGACTGAAAACAATGAATTGTATACTCCGAGCACATCAGGATCCAGAGTTGTCGGTCCAACACCAACTGTAGGAAGTCGTAATCGAAATACAAATCGAACTTCAGATGAAGTTTCGCAAATAGATGATTCTATAAAATCAATAGGGCAGTTCTTTGCGAAGAAATCATCCAACGACTCGGATAGCGCTTTTTGCGAATACGTCGCATCCGAAATGCGTAAAATGCATCGGCAACGTAAAAATAACCTTAAAAAACTTATTGTGAACTATATTAGCGATTTAGTTAGCGATAGTGAATAAAATGCACTTATATTGAAAATACAAATTTACATATCTTTAAATCTGATGTAGGTACAAACCGAGGTACAAACTAATGCATAACACCTTCTCCATTTAAATAAAATGCCAGTTGATCTCGTAATTGCAGAGCCCTGTGGGTAGAATTTCTGTGTGTTGAAGTTCCGATTGATGATAATGGTTGGGACAATTCTCTTCTCCAGGCACCATTATCATCACCTACTCTATCAACATAATCTGGAGGACAATAGGCTGGAGAACTAACTCTTAAAAAATTATGTAGACATACGCAGGCTTTCGTAATAGCTTCAACCAAATTAGGGTCAGCATTTATTGTTTGTAGCAAAATCCGCCATCTAGCAGCGAGAATCCCAAAACCATTTTCCACAACTCTTCTGGCCCTGGATAAGCGTTTATTAAAATTTTCCTTTTCTTCTGTCAATAAATGACCTGGATATGGTCTCATAATATGTTGTCCTAAAGGACATTCAGCGTCTGCTACAAGGAAATATGGAAAATCTTGTTGATTACTATAACCTTGTATTGGAGCATCTCTTGGTATTCTTAATTGATCGGTTTGTAACTTCTCACAGAATTCTGATTCTTGAAAAACCCCACCATCACTACTAGATCCAAATGCTCCAATTCCCACAATTTTAAACATGTATTGACTATCGCAAAGGGCAAGCAACACCAAACTAAAATTCTTTTTATAATTAAAATATAATGAGCCAGAATTATTAGGTGCTCTCATGTTAATATGTTTGCCGTCCAAAGCACCTGAAACAACAATTTTAAAATTTGGAAAACAATAAACTTTTTGATTTTACCTAGGCAATGTGGAAAATTCCAAGTATTTTCAAAACTAGTAGCGATTGACAACCATTCTTCTTCGTTTCTAGGTGGTTGTAAATAATCATTATGAAGAACATCAAATATTGCTTGGCACATTTCCTTTATTATACAATGCACTGTACTTTTTCCCATTTTAAACTTCCAAGCTACAGTCTGCATTGATGACCCTTGACTTAAATAGCTGAAAGTTGAAATACAAATTAATCAAAATTGATTGGTAGCAAATACATAATGATACTTACTGTAAGGTGACCACTAGTCTTTCTTCCACTGATATTGGTTTGTTCATTTTTCTTACTTGTACGATACGGCGTAATCGGTTCAAAAGTAGTGTAAATGTTGATACATCCATTCGTGTATACTTAAAAAATTGACTAGGATCACGTATCTTCATTGGGAGGAAGGTGCTAATGTAGAATCCTTTTGTCTGTCTATCTCGATTTATGTACCTCACTTTCCACCGCCTTTGCCTTCTCTTCTTTTTGTTTGTAATTTTAATTCTCTTTAAAAGCAATAAAGTAGTCAAAGCAGCAAGTTCACATTCCATGTTCAAAACAAAGAATATGTATAACATACACAGAACAGTAAATAACATAACCTATAACAACACCACAATACGATGCGGGTCCGATGTTTATAAACCCACTTGCGAAATTGCCGTTTACAGCGTTACAACGACAACGATAGCACCAACGACTGCGGGTTTTATAAACCAGCCTTTAGTTTTACATAATTTTCCCCGCTCACGAAGTTTCTTATAATGCACTTCCCGCCCATGTTTATTATTACCGCGCTTTTATCTCTGCTCGTATACGAGTGTGAGCTTGTGCTTATGCGCTTCTTATTTGGTTCTGCTATAGTAAGTAGATCGGCTTGCATTTTCATGGCAGTGGCGTACATGACATCCATCGCCCTGGTGCTGTTATTTGCATTTCCTTGTAAGATGGTCCGTTCCCCCTTTAGTTTTTTTGTTCTTGTCCCTGTTACTCCGTTTCCTTTTTGTGAGGCCCCTATCCGAGTGGGGTCGTCTTGCGTTTTACCGTTGTTGGCCATTGCTAGTCGTCTTGTGCAGCTCGCGTTGGTGCGCTGGGATCGGGCTCGGGCTCTTCCATGGCGTCGTTAGGGGGCAAGTAGCACGCACATAAAACAATGTCTTTGAAATCCGTTCGGACAAAGTTCTTCCCGACCCGCACTCTTTTGATGTGAATCGCGTCATTGAAAACCTCGATTGCCACCCTACCCGTGTTGTCTTTGAACATTGCTGGGCCCGCCGCACGACCCACCTCTGACACTACCGCAACGTCCACACTCTTAACCGCGACCGATCGTCTCAGCACCTCGTAGGCAGCTCGGGAGTTATTCAGGTTGGCCTGTATAAACTTCATGTGGGCTTTATCAAATTAAAAAAGAATAAAATGAGAAGGTAGAAAAAACACACTATTTTAAATAGGGGACAAGCACAGTATATATAACACGCGAAAATTTCAATCTTTTATCGAATCAATAGTTTATTACACGTATCTTAGTGTTTGTGCCTCTACAGACCAGGTAAATCACTTTTTACACCTAAATAGAGTTTACATTGATCACACTGAGGAAAGAATCGAAACCTAACCTAAAAGAAAAATTTTCTGTGATAGTATTCTGCGCTGTTCCTTATTATATTTTGATCCTATAGGAAAGCTAGGTGCAGGTGAATGATTTTCATGCCATTAGGTTTATAGCCACGTATTTCAAACTGATTATCAATGTGTGTAATAGGATCCCAATCTATTTTGTGGAATAACCCATTATTGCCCTTCTGTTTCATTTTATTTCAGAATGTCCTCCGCCAAGAGCCGGGGGCAAATTCTGGTCGAATTGTGTGCGGGGTTAGGGACCTCATCCCACAATGGCTCTGAAGTTTCAGAACCGTCGTTATATTACGATTCAGGTAGTGAATACACGCCATCCGTCGCACCTGAACACCCCAAAGTGGAATCCGGAGAGGATGAACAGGCTAATAGTGGTGAGTGCACGCCTTCTGTCATACGTGAACATACAGAAGATGGATTCGAAGAGGAGGCAAATGAAGTCCAAGTGAATACCAAACCAGCAGGCCAACCAAAACGCGGAAGAAAAAGAAAACATCCGGCACAAAACCCGTTTTAAAGAACATGCCAAAAACACCCCAAAATCAGCAATAGGCACTCACATTACACAAGAAAAACACACAATATGGATAAAGCAAAAATCCTCCAACAAACCAACCATTATCAACAACTAAAAATATTAGAACACCTAGAAATACAAATAGCCACTATCAATTCCAATCACATTATATTAAACGACATCACCGAATTTACAGAACCTCACTTATACAAACTCATACACCCCTTCAAGCCCCTCTTTCACACTAACTACGCCACTGACCCTACATAACAGTACTACACGGAACTAATATTCCAACCTCACTTTACCATACACACCTATCATTCGTCACATAAATTATACAGGTAAATTTAAACTTAATTCAACATGATACAACTTTTACACATTCCAGAATTACCTACTAATTAAAATATGTTTCAGATTCAAAATAATTTTTCAAAATAATATTCAGTAAATACATACTTTCACCACATTCCATGATTCGTTAGCCATTCCGACGGTAATATATGTAAAAACTATAATGTAATTATACTAACACCACTGGTTACAGTATCGCCTGATGATGGACGAGAAATAAAGTCCGAAATCGATAGCGACTAACATTTTATAATAAAACAAAATTAGTGTAATATTTTCGACAACCATTATCCGGCACAAACTCGTCACTCTAGAAAACAGCTACATAATGCACATAAGCCCCACATTTCTGTGCCTAAAGAATTGTGGAGACTCATTCGACACCTGATAGAAAAACTTCAACATCCAAAACTGGTCACATGTGACATGTTTTTCTGCGGAATAAAGGAGAAAGACCAGAGCGACATACTGACGAATTGGTTGGTGAACTTCGGCAAATATGTGACATACAACACGACAATCAAAGACATGCAAGATGACAAACGGTCTCAAAATTTCAGAAGTATTTTCATCGAAAAATTAAAAAGAATATTGTTGGAATACGCTTGGTACAAAGGAAAGAATGCCATGGGAAATTTTGAGTCAAGGTGGGGCACACGCAAGGTTCTCTGTACTCTAAGGGACTATGAAAGAATTATATGGAGTGTCAATTTTTAAAACTGCCTATATAATGTGATGTATCTGTGATATTATAGCAATCCTAATTATATGGCATTGTGTAAGAAAACCTATTGATATAATAAATATAATAATAATAATAACATTTCTGTGCCAGGAAAGGAAAATGTTCCGAAGGCTTTCAATGCGGATTTCATTTGTACATGTTAAAAGAAATGTACTAAGGTCGTAAGTGTAGAGGCAAGGACGAGGCTTTTTAATCAGTTTTGGTACATTGGGTCATTTTCTGGACGAAGTATTCAAACTTATTTTTAATGAGCTATAGAACTTAAAACGTCATTATCTCAAAACTGTATGGTTGTGTGGCTTGACCCGTTGTTGTAGAACACCATCCATATATCAGCACCTCAGAGGTAAAATGTATTAAGTCAATTTTTCCTGTTTTTTAAATCTTAGTACTAAGTCACTTGAAATAGTATTCTCTATGCAGGGGTAAAGTGTTTTAAGTCCCTTTACTAACCGTTACCGTGACGCGCTTTCCGTAACCGTATTACGTCAATCAAGGTCAATAAATGTTTCAGAAGTATACTGTCCTAAGTCATTTGATACAGTTTACCTCCCGTCGCGGTGGCGCCACGTTTTTTAGTTAGTATGAAATGCGTAGTTGGGTACGTAACACGTCTCTGGTTGTGCGTTAAATTTTAAGTTACAATAACAAAATGAGTCGAGGAAAACTCCTGTGTGAGTTGGCTCGTATCATAAAGAAGTCATCTGACCATCAAGATCAAATACATGAAAATAATTATGATGAAAATCCACACATAGACGCAAAACCGGCGGAAGATAACACTGGTAAGTGTTCTTACTGTTATTTCTTAATTATAAATTCTTTTTTCAACTAAATAACACCTACAACTGGAAGGCGAATTCCGTAATATTCTTGTGATTTGTTTGTTGTTGTTTGACTTAGTATTTTTTACCTCAAACATTTATTTAAGATTCTTTGACGTGAAATCGATTGTTTATTGTACAAATCTAGGCAAATATGCGTTTGGACGTTTCAAATGCATTACCTAACGAAGAGGTGTAAACATTTGGTTATTTCTGCCAGACTAAACTTTCACTTTGTTGTTATTTTGTCACCTTCAGTTGACTTAATACTATAGACCTCTAATGTTTTCTAGAATTTAATGACTTAATACTATCGCATTTTCAAGAATGACTTGATACTTGTAACTTTATTCGGTTGTACTGTAGTTAATGTATTAACACAATGTATTGTTTTGACAGGCGCGAGTACTTTACCGAAATTGGACTTAGGCAGCAATTCAATAAATAGAAACGACGAAGATGAAGCTTCAAGTGATAGAAATGATATTCACCATAATGACGTACTAGGGCAGGTTTCTCCTGAAGGTAGTATCATTGATGGAAATTTACCTAGTGGAAATGATACTGAGCAAAATCTACAAGGACCAGATTCTTCTGAAAATAGTATTATAGACGATTCTGACGCCGACCCTAACTATGAGGAATCGTAACCAATAGACACAAGTGAAGAAGACAAACGAAAAGAAAACGAAACTGGAAATAAAGAAAAATCACGAAAACGACAAAGAAACGTTAAAGGTTGGAAGTCCACGATTAGAAAACAAAAAAGGACTGCCGGTGAAGAATATACTTAAAAAAAATAAAACTATTAAGGCTAGAAGACTGGGACCTGCATGTAAGGAAACCTGCAAACTTAAGTGTTACGAAATTTTCACGGAAAACGAACGTCAACAAATATTACAACAATTTTGGTCTGCAGAAACCGATATAAATCAGAAACGACAATTTGTATCTTCGTCCATCAAAGCAGAAAAGGTAAAGACAAGAAGAGAAAGAACTGGTGAACGGCATGGAGTAAGAAATGAAACCTTTCGTTATTCTTTTAGTAAAAAAAATACTTGTCTGCCGGTTTGCAAGACATATTTCTTGCATCCACTTGACATATCCCAAACTTTTGTGAGGACAGCCTTAACTAAAAGGGGACACGGGGGAGTTGTGGTTGAAGATAAACGGGGAAGAAAGGAGCCACCAAACAAAATTAATGAAGCCACCAGAGACAGTGTTCGGCAGCATATCTTGAAATTTCCCGTTGAAGATTCTCATTATAGACGTGAAAAAACTGTAAAAAAATATTTAGGACCGCACCTAAATATTTCACGAATGTATGAACTGTACACTGAAGACTGCAAAGAGCAAAACATACCTCAACAAAATGTAGCGAAGCAATGGATTTACAATGAAATTTTCAATCTAGAGTTTAACTACGCCTTCAAATCACCTGCTAATGATACATGCGATGAATGTGACAGTTATCAGATTAAACTTCAAGATTCGTCAATAGATGATCGAAATCTAATCCAGCAAAAATACAATGAACACCTAGAAGAAGCCTCTAAAAGATATCGTTTAAAAAGACAGGATAAAGAACGTTCTCAAGAAAATCCAAGAATAAAGGTTCTAATGGTCGATCTTGAGAAGTGTTTACCAACACCACTTTTAAAAAATGCACAAAGCTTTTACGCACTAAAACTTTGGACATTTAATAACTACACCATACATGATGCATCTGAGAAAAACGTTTTTTGTTGCATGTGGGATGAGTCCGTCGCAGGAAGAGGAGCCAACGAAATGGCTTCATGTCTTTTTAAATGGGCGCAAAGTGTTAACCTTTCTGAAAGTGAATTGACAATTTGGTCGGACAATTGTCCATCACAAAATCGCAATCTAGCCATGATTATATGTTACTTTCAAATGCTGAAAGTCTTTCCAGATGTAAAAGTTATAAACCATAAGTTTTTAATGAGAGGACATACGCATCTTGAAGCGGATGCTGACCATTCAATGATTGAGAGGGAATCAAAAAAACAATCCCAATTTCAGATAATGACACCTTGGGACTGGCAACAAATTGCCAGACTAGCAAGCCGCAGACGCCCTTTTAAGGTAATTGGGATGGAAACAGATGACTTCAAAAATTTTAAAAGCCTGTATAACACGCAACAGTCTACCTATGTTTCCAGAAAGAAGTCATCTAATGGCGAACAATTTCTAATAAGTAAGGCAGTACACTTACAAGTTCGATCAGAAAATCCTGGAATACTGTTTTACAAGACAGATTTTGATGAAGAATTTTGTGAATTGGATCTGAACAGGAATCGTCGTAATCCCACGTTAGCAGCAGATGATGTACCTGTTCTAAGAGATGGACCCAATCCGATTTCTACAAAAAAATACAAACATCTACAAAATCTTCTTAGATGGGTGGCCAAGGTTTTCCACGGATTTTACAAAAATTTACTTCATAATGACAAAGTTGATGAAGATGACGATAACGCCTAGATGATAGTTTCCAATAATATCTTATGTTCCATGTCCAGTAAAATATTAGCCCACGTTGCCATAGTAGTGAACTGTATATTATAAGTCTGAATAAAAATTAAGTGTTCGTTAAAGTTTTTCACCTTTTGAACAATTATTTTCCTGAGATTTTACTTCACAACCATAAAACATTTTCGAAACAGTATTAAGTCACTAATTTTGAAAAATTTTATTAGTACTAAGTCAAGTTTTTCAAAAATTTAGGATACAAGAAAGAACAACCTTTTTTTTCTATGTAATAGACCAGCGGTCGGCAAATTGTGGCTCGCGAGCCGCATGCGGCTCTTTCGCTGATCCGAGTGCGGCTCTCCGCCATAAATGATACTCATTTTTGCGCAGGCGTCGGGCGATATTCTTCTTCTAAACACAAGCGTAACGAAAGAATCATTGTTGTGATCTGCGTGCGGCGTGTCATCATCATTAAGTGTTATCGTGTTGTAGGACGTAGGTAATACATAATATAACGGTCGCGCGAAAATTGAAATTGGTACAGTTATTTGATTCCAGTCTATTGAAAGGTAAATAATATGATTGTTATTCATTTAAAAAGTGTAATCTTTATGTTGCTTGTCACATTAATATAAAATGTTTTAGCTGCCTTTCGTTTGAGATGGCTACAAAGAGGAAGCAAAGAGAAACGGCAGACGAAAATCGAGAGTTTAACGTTGAATGGACGGAAACATTCGCGTTTATTCAAAATACAAATGGATTCCCGACATGCCTTATTTGCCAAGAAAAATTGGCGCACAACAAAAAGTCGAATCTGGAGAGACACTTTACAACTAAGCACGTGTCATTTGGTGCTAAATATCCTGTTGGTGATGCAAGGAAGAAAGCTGTTGAAGAACTTAAAAAGAGCCAGGAAAAGTCAAGTTTTGTATTTAAACACTGGTCGCAATCTTCTAACAATGTGAATATTGCTAGCTTCATTATTAGTCAAGAGATTGCCAAGCGAGGAAAACCATACACAGACGGCGAGTACATAAAAAGTTGTTTTATAAATGCATCTGAAGAGTTATTCCGTGATTTCAAAAACAAAGAAGAAATTCTCAAAAAAATTAGGGAGTTGCCATTGTCAGCTAAAACAGTCAAGGATAGAGCAGCCAAGATGTCTTCGAATATAACCAACCAGCAACATGAAGATCTTAAAATGGTTTCCGCTTTGGCAATAGCCGTTGATGAGTCTTGCGACATCAACGATACAGCTCAAGTTTCACTTTTCGTGCGATTTATTTCATCTACAGGCCCAAAGGAAGAACTTTTAGGGTTATTGCCTCTCAAAGGCCAAACGCGTGGAGAGGACATTGCAGACGCGGTTATTAAATGCATGCAAAAACATGAAATTCCGCTTAATAAAATTGTGTCGATTGCAACCGATGGTGCAAGAAGTATGACCGGCATAAGAAAAGGTTTCGTTGCTATCTTGAAGTAAAAAATTAATCAAGAGGCACTTTGTGCACAGACATTTCCTGCAGAAATTTGCCAAGTTATGGAATTAGTGATCAAGATTGGCAACACCATTGTAGCTAAAGCCCTGTATCACCGCCAATTTAAAGAATTTTTATTTGAAATGGAAAGCGAATATTCAGATCTTCTGCTTCATAACAAGGTGCGTTGGCTGTCTCGAGGGAACGTTTTAAAACGTTTTGCAGCTTTATTAAACGAAATTACTTCATTTTTGCGTGAAAAGGACATTCAATATCCTGAATTAACTGACGATATGTGGCTTCAAAGATTTTATTTCATGGTTGATATTACGTCTCACCTAAATCAGCTTAATTCTAAATTACAAGAAAGAGGAAATACAATTTTTTCCATGACAGAAGAAGTAACTTCATTTGAAAGCAAATTAGCCATTTTTGTGCAAGATTTTGAAAGAGGCACTTTGCTTCATTTTCCAAATCTGTTGAAACATCGTCGGGAAAGTAATTCATTAATTGACGTTCGCTACTTCATTACAACACTTTCAAATATGAGAGAAGCTTTCCTGCAGAGGTTTCAAGACTTCAGAAATAACAAACCGACATTAGCTTTTGTTAAAAATCCGCTCAATGTGAACATAACGGAGTTAAATTTGTCTCCTTTCGGTGTTGACATTGGAACTTTGAAATGCAATTGGTGGATTTAAAAAGTAAGGAAATATGGTGTTCCAAATTTGAAAAACTTAATACCGATTTGGAAGAAATAGAGAAACAAAAAATTAATCTAAGTTTACAGCACAAATGGACTGCCTTGAAAGATTTGGAGAAGGAAGATTTGCTCATTTTTAATGCATGGAATAGTATTCCCGACTCCTATGATCAATTAAAAAAATTAGCATTTGGCGTACTGTCCCTTTTTGGGTCGACGTATTCATGCGAACAATCTTTTTCAAACATGAATCTTATTAAAAGTACCTAAGTTGAGAAGTCGCCTTATTGACGAAAATCTGGAATCGTGTCTGAAATTAAAAACGACTACATACACACCTGACTTACGCAAACTGTCCCAAGAAATGCAAGCGCATTGTTCACATTAAAATTTTCTGGAAATAAATAAAGTTAGTATTTACTATGATTTTTGTGTTCTTCTGTGTACACCTCGTTTTTTCATAAACTTAAAAAATATGGGGCTCTTTAAAGAAATATTAAGTGGTGTACTGGCGATATTTGGCTCTTTTGATTAATGAGTTTGCCGACCGCTGTAATAGACCTATCTTTATATAATTATAATCAATAATGTAAAAAATTTCTACAAAAATCGTAGAAAAATTGGCGTAATTTATTATATTTTCAAAATCTATAATTATGTTTTCTGTAAAACTTCAATTTTTGACTTAATACACTTTACCCCCGAGGTGCCGATATATATATATATATATATATATATATATATATCTCTTCAGTATCTGTAAATACTGTTAGTTTTCCGGTGTTTTTAAATTTCTAATTGCGATAGCTTTCTGTGGCCTTTGAGGATTGAGATCGAGAACTGTCAGTGAAATAAGCGCAAGGCCATGATTTGAGAACAATTTGCGCAATGTAAATCTCCCTATGGCCCATCTTTAAAAAACACCCTGTATGATATTTTGGCATTTTAACAACTTGTGATAGTTGTAATACAACATCCGCTCCAAGTCCTAAGTTAGGTATGATCTCTCTGGCGCCTGCATATAAACTGAATTGGAATAAATACCCACTGGACGAACAAATGCACCATAATTTATACCCGAAACGCACAGGTGTTTCTGTTATAAACATTTTCGATGAATGTCGACCGATGTACGGCACCATTTCTTCATCAATCGAAATTAATTATTTCTATGAGTGGTCTAAGTTTGGAAAATTTGTCATTGTTATCTAATTTACAATTGTCAGCTACGTGTAAATTTCTCTTTGTATTACAACTTCATGCAATCTAAGAAATTTCATTTCAATGTATGTTTGTCACTTTAGTAGCGTTTCCTAATCCTCCTTCACCATCGGTATAGCATCGGAGGAGGAGCAAGCGATTCGTAGAACCAATGTAAGGTTAAGGTGTACTGTAGCCTATTTTAACGAACTGACCATCGAGGAGATCGTACGAAGTACAATCTATAAAACGGTCCTCGATCACTTTATTATGTACATTTTCAATGTGGGGAGGTGAGGCACTATCATCATCTCCGTTGCAACTACAACACCAACACGAACACGTAAAGTAATAATAGGTAATAGTAATATTTGTCTTTCAAATTACGATTTGTAACATAGACTCACAAAACAGTAGAAGACTAGGAGTTTTGTACCTTCATCATGCAATAATTATCGCAGCGATGTTTCGTATCCATGTGCACTGGTTTCTTAAGAACCGCACGCCTAGACGACGATTACAAAACTGAGCTATTTTATGATGAAGTGCATATTTTATTATGAAATTGTAATGCCCTTTTGTCCCTGAATTGCTTCGGCACAAAAGTGACCGATAACTGTACCCGCGTGCCCACGGAGTAAAATGCCAGGGTTCGCAGTTTGTCAGAATTCCAAAGGAAGATATCACAGCTAACAGGATTTATTCTTTGTAATATTTATAAACAAAAGTATTTGGATTTTTATAAATAAAATAAAATGTCTTCTTTGAACGCGACCCAATAGAGGTGGTCGCGTCTATTCTGTGGTATGGTGGCGCCGCGCCGTCGCCTTGTTAGTTGACCCTGGACTTGACTTGATGTATCGTTTATAGTGCTCTCTGTAATTAAATGTTTAATGGTATGGTGTTTTAACATATGGAAATAAACAAGTGGTGCTATTGATAAATGATAAGGTTTGCAGTAAATAATAATAATAATAATATTTTTTTATTCCATGGACCGTGGTAGGTATAGGACATGTCAAATACACATATAATTACTAACAGACAAATAATATCACAGTTAAGCATGTTCAAGGAACTCTTTGATATTGTAAAAACAGTGATTATTTAAGTATAGAAGTAATCTCTTATTAAAGTTATTTAGTGTATTGCAGCATTTAATTTGTTCGGGTAATTTGTTAAACATTTTTACTCCCAGTACAAAGGGTGAGCTCAAGCCAATGTTATATTTGGTGTGCGGAATTCTGTAAAAGTCGTTGTCGCGGAGATTATGATTATGAATGTCTTTGTTTTTATTTAATGTATGTGAGTATCTGAAAATTAGTTTGCATGTTTCTAAAATGTATAAGTTGGCTAGAGATAAAATGTTGAATTGTTTGAAAAGATTCCTGCATGTATGAATTTTTGGAACATTCGCAATCGTCCTAATAATGCGTTTTTGTGCAACAAGAACTTCGTGAGAGTAAGTAGATGTGCCCCACAAACATATCCCGTATCGAAGGATAGTGCCCACCAGAGCATGGTAAATGTTTATTAATTGCGCGAGCGTTATAACATTTTTTAAATTTCTAAACAGATAATTTAAGGAGCTCAGCCTAGCAGCCAGCTTTTCACAGTGCTTTTTCCAATTTATATTGTAGTCAATATGTAGTCCCAAAAATTTGGTTTCGTGTACATGCTGCACCTCTTCACCCTGTATTTTTAAAGTCAATATATTTGTTGGTTTTTGGAAGTTATGAAATCTAACAAAATTAGTCTTCCCTCCATTCAATACCAGAGAATTGTTGCTGAACCAGTTGTGTAGTTTGTCAAGGTTCTCGTTGCATAATTTTTCGAGTTGTGTCTCATTCTTATCTGAAAGCAATAGGGAGGTATCGTCCGCGTATAGGAAGTGTGCTATACCGACACCAAGGTGAGGAGAAATGTCGTTGATGTAGAAGAGAAATAATGTGGGACCCAGCACCGATCCCTGGGGAACACCAATGTCTGTTGATTTTTTCTCAGATTGAAATGTTTGTTTATGTCCCTTTGTGATATTAGATATCGAGACTATTTGCTCTCTATTGTGTAGAAACGAGGAGATCCAACTAAGCGCCACCCCTCTGATGCCGTAGTGTTGCAGTTTATTTAAAAGTATGTCGATATTTACACAGTCAAATGCCCTCGTGAGATCACAGAAGATACCCACTGGGCATTCGCTTCTGTTAATGTAATCTAGCACTTTGTTGAAAAACAGGTACAAGGCATCAAGTGTAGAGCTTTTTGGTTGAAACCCAAATTGGTGCGGTGAGAGTATGGGTGGTCACAATCGTTTGTACTTGCTCCAAGGTTACATACAAGCTGACTACAATCGCAAAGGAATGCGGCGGAGATAATACAGTCCGGTTCACACCAGCCTGAACTACTTCAACCCTCCAGGTACAACACTGGCTTGCGCCGTATTTTCCCTGCCTTTTAAAATTGTAGGTCGTTTTAATAAATTTAATGGGGGTGTCCGGTAATTTTAATGTATGGCTTTCTAGCTACTTATCCGAACGAACACAAACTGTATTGATACAAAATCATTTTAAATCTAAAAAAATCAAAATTACATCTGGTTTACCTCAAGGTGGTCATTTGTCTCCAGTTTTATTTAATTGTTTTATTAATGATGTATGTGATTTCGTAATACACTGTAAATACCTTTTGTTCGCTGATGATCTTAAAATGTATACTGAAATCAAATCATTGCAAGATTGCCTTAATATGCAGCTTGACCTTGATAACTTGGAGAAGTGGTGTAAATTGAATGAAATGGAGTTAAATGTAGGTAAATGCAAATCCATCAGCTTTTACAGAATAAAAAATCCAATTAAATTCAATTACTGCCTAGGGCAAAAAGTACTCGAAAATGTGACATTAATTAAAGATCTAGGTGATATTACTGTTAATAGAGCACTAAAGATGTTAGGGTTTGTGAAAAGGTCGTGTGGAATGCTTAAGCGTGTGTCTTGCATTAAAGCTGTTTACATAGCTTTTGTCCGTAGCATTCTAGAATATTGTTCAATTGTCTGGTGACCATATTATGTAACTCACTCTGTTAGACTAGAAAAAGTACAAAAT